TCAATATCCCAACAGCAAAATAAAAGTTTAACATAACAAAAAGAGACCATTTATTCTTTACACAAAAGACAAGCTCCAATACAGCAAGGCTGGCTGGGGAATTCTAGGAGTTGAAGTCCACCCATCTTAAAGTTGCCAAGGTTGAGAAACACTGTTCTAAAGGTTCACAATCCAGCAGCCTTTCTGAAGGAATGCAAGATTGATTCTGACCACTGCCTGGATAGGGAGTTACTTGATACTGAGAAGAAATTTATATGTGTATCCAAATAACTAAATTGTATAGCCTTATTCTGTGAATGCTTAGTTTGGAATGTTCCACTGGAACGTTATGACTTATATACAAACCCACAAATGTGCAAACATATAAGTGGCATTGAAATATAAAATAGTAAATAAAGCAACTGACGTACAAAATAGACAAAAATGTTTATTAAAGCACATGGTATTAGAATATATCACAAGCAAACACTACCTGTAATGGTCAAGTCAGCATTCAGTACTTCAAATTAGGGGCCAATTCTACAGATATTGTTCAAGTGCATTCCTGACAACTCTCACGAATGCCAATCTGGCTGGGTTAGCTGGGAGCTGTAGTTAAGCAGTATTTGGGAGGCCCGAGATGTATATAATTCATCAGCTAAAAAGACACTTCAGAGTCTGTGAACAGAGCTTTGTATTTTTATATACTGTATGCTTACCAGCCAACATACACATGACAGCCAGAGAGATTAAACAGAAACACATTCAAACACACACAGGAAATAGAAGCAAAAATGTTCTACAGTAAAGGAATTGCTGGTGGTACTTTTATTATTCCTAAACAGTAAAACAGTAAAACACATCAAACAGCCAGTGTCCATCATTCAGTGCAAGCAACACACCCAAAACAATACTCCAAACATATCAACAAGAATTCATAACATATGCCAGCAGCCAAGGCACAAGCACCAGGAATATATGTTTTTAGTTAAAAAAAAAATAGTCTATGTGCATTGACCTTATCACATAGTCCCATCCAAAACTGTAAGAACTGCCTTCACTGGACATATTTTAAATGGAATAGAATATTATCAGATGGCCTCCCCAATACATTTACTTTAATTTCAACTGTCATTTGGTGCTGAATGCATTCCTAAAACCATTTAGAAAGAACCAAAACACATCAGTAGGTGTATTCTATCCTTCTCTTTTTATCTTTCTTCACTCACATCTCAACAGCCAATCCACAAATTCTAAACATGCCTAAAGTATATACAGACTCCCCAAATCAACTCACACCCTCCCCCACAACTAAAGGCAATAAGATGTACTCATTTAAGCCACAATGTTTTGCTTAACTAACTTTTGGAAATCTCTCATTGCAGATTAAATTAATCTAAACCAAGTGTTCAGCAATGCCAACCTAAGCAATTGTTCTTGCGCTACTAAGAGTGCAGGCAAGCGTAATTATGCTCACGATAAACTCATAACCCTGCAACGTTTTATAGATGAATACGAGGACATTCCTATGGGCTGGTAAACATCTCTGTTATCACCCCAATGATCAGGCTGGAGCTTTCAGACAGTCATACACACTAGAGGGTGCTGAAGGATGTCTTCATTTAATGAATATGTTTGTGAATGTGTGTTTTCTCTTGCTTCTGTAAAGCAGAGACTTGTAACTTTATTTCTTGTGAAGGCTGCAGAATTAATTGCAAGCGTTAACTTTAGGCGTGCTGATCCGATACGCATGGACCATGCTGCATGCTTTCGAACAAAATATATTCGGTAGAAGGTATTAGGGCCAAGTAGGGAGGGTGTGAGATATCGCTTTGCCCTCGAGCGCAGTGTGCCCCTTCAGTGGCCGGACATGCGTGGGGAAGGGCAGTTCCCACGCGCGCGTTAATACCAGTCCGTTCCCGGCGAGAGATGACAGCTGGCCCGGAGATCCCGTCTCCCGCTCACCTTGTCTGCAGTCACAGTAGCCCCAGTCAACCCTGCCGCGGTTGTTCCTGTAGAAGCACCAGGGCCTGCTCCTGCCGTCCGGGTTCCTGCAGAAGTTGCGCTGCCCGCGCAGCCCTTTGCCCTGCGGCGTCCGCTCCAGGAAGCTGGGCACCTCTGCCCAGGGCAAGCACCCCGCGCCGAACTCTGTCACGTT